TGTGGCTGTGTGCAAGCAGCTGGACTGTCTGCAGGAGGCATAGGAGCGGATGTATCCGTTTGGGACAACGGAACCGCAACAACCCGTGGAGGAGGCATATATATATCGTCACAAACAGATATATATATATATATATATATCGTCAAACAGAACTGCCCGGTAAACCGTAGGCTGAGAGGGAGAAGAGGACAACAAACGAGGGGGCTGTGACAAACTGTTTCGTCGGAGTTTCACCGACTCATATATTGTCACAATGTGAATCAGAGCGCGAAGGCGAAGAAAAAGCAAAACAAGAAAAGGAAAAGAAGTAAGGAAGGAAAGCCCCACCTGTTCATCACCTCTTACGTACAAGGCCAGCCACGCGGATGACAGGTTGAGCGCTGGCTGCCCCCATCCCCGTGTGTCACAAGGACCCACTTGCACGCAGCCAAAAGGCAAAGAGGTAAAGAAAAGGAAGAGGAAACCAGACCTCACAGAGGCAAGAGGAAGAGAAAGGTCAAAGAAAAAACAAAGGAAGAAAGCATATGACACATCCCACAGATAAACCAATTGCCACTGTCACTACAAAGTTCAACACATTTTTTTCTTTTTTCCTTTTTTGTTTTCTTTTTTCTTTTCTCCAGAAATTTGTACTTTTTCTCTTCCTTTCTTTTATCTGTGCTACAATTAGTGTTGCTCCTGATCGCTTAATTCTATTGACCAGTCAGGAAGAGGAGCCCCCACCCCGTCAGATAGGACAGGCACGCTGAGGATGACGTGGATGTTCACAAGGATACCCAAGGAGAGCTACTTCAGCACAGCATTCAGCAGGACAGCTAGCACGGACCATCCCATCAAAACAGTCCTGACAAAGGACATGCTGTCCACATGTCAAAAAAACAGCAGGACGTTCATCACAGTGCGGCATCATGCAGTCCTGATAGCGTCCTTGAGCACAAAAGGGACAGCGAATATCTGGGTGATAGGGATGTGTACAATGAGGAAATGTTGGACACCCTTCGGCACAGACGGTGGCGGCTGCAATAGATTGATAATGTTGATGGCATAGATGATGAATTCCGCAGCCAAGACGCACCGTGTCTCTGTCCCGACAGGTGTCACACGAGAGTGGATCAATAATCCAGAATAAAGTATGATTCGGTAATGCACACAGAAATTCATTTATATTGAAAATAGCCTGAATCATTGTCCCACCATCCCACAGTTCCCACTGGGCAGCTGCACGAATGAGTGCCATATAATGCCCGGGTCTGTGCAAAATACAGGCAGAAATATGAGGATGGTCATTAAGGTCATCGCTTGGCATCGCATGATGCATAAGAAGGTGGCGACCGTGGAAAGCTAGCTGTAAGACATTTACAGTAAAGCCTCCCGAGGTAGTATAATTACTACCTTCAAGAGGTGGACCATTATGGTCATGCAACAACTGATTTTCAACAGCGTCAAGCTGATAAGCGATTGTAACAAAATGGGAAGCAGTATAACATTGACGCTGATAAGCCTGTAGGCAGACATTTGTGGCTGTCAACCCACAAGCATTTGGTAGATCTGCCCGCAGATCCGATTCGGTCACCACTAGAAAGCTAGGTCTGATCTGGCGGGGTCGGCACATGAATGACGAACGCCGTCGACGTGGCAGAGAAGGCTGTCGGTAAGACAAAGAACCCCGCAGATTAGCATCAACACGACGTCGAGAGGAAGGGGAACTGGGAGGAGGAGAGAATGAACGAACCGACATCCCAATATAGACAACGAAGACAAAGGAGGGGCCAATCTCAGCCGGCGTGGGGGGGCAAATGCAGAAGAAGAAGAAGAAGAAGGAAGAAGGAAGAAGGAAGAAGAAGAAGAAGAAGAAGAAGAAGAAGGAGAAGAAGAAGAAGGAGAAGAAGAGGAAGAAGAAGAAGAAGAAGAGGAAGAGGAAGAAGAGGAAGAGGAAGAAGAGGAAGAGGAAGAGGAAGAGGAAGAGGAAGAAGAAGAGGAAGAGGAAGAGGAAGAAGAAGAAGATGAAGAAGATGATGAAGACGACGACGACGACGAAGAAGAAGAAGAAGATGAAGACGACGACGACGAAGAAGAAGAAGAAGAGGAGGAGGAGGCTGGCAAAGAGGAAGGAGAAGGAGAGGGAGGGGGAGAGGGAGAGGAAGGCGGAGGGGAAGTGGAAGGGGAAGGAGAAGGAGGGGGAGCGGTCATTGGGCATAGCCGGGTTGTTTTACGAGCGCCCGCCGCTCATTGCCCGTGCTCCCTACTAGGTCTGGAGATACATCCAGCTGCCGAGTTACTACCCTAGACCTAGACCATGCATTCACAGACTTGCAGACTCGAAAACAGCAAGGAAACCAAGTGCGATCCGATGACGTCAACAGAAAACCTAATTGCAGCAGAGGTCACCAGGAAAGTACGCAGGGAGGTACCACTGACAACAAAATTCAAATTGCATAAACGACAGGGCCAGGGCAAAGAAGCACTTCACTCCTTGAATGTTCCCTTGATGAAGCTCCTCTGTTGCAGCTATCTGCTCCTCTTGCTCCTTGCTATGCCCCTTCGTTTTCGGCCCTCAACTCCCCGTCAAACCCCTATATGTATATTTCATCGCCCGCCGTCCTTCTTCCTTTCCAGCGCTGCAACTCCGAGCGGATGCAGCAGGAACCAGCTCCATTGCCACTTAAATGAGCCAAATACTCGTCAAGTTCAGCCTCACATACATCAATGAACCTTCACATGAGAGTTCACACGTGAGAAGCCAAATCGGGATACGATCAACGCTTGAAGATGTCGTCTCCAATCTTGTTATATCAATATACAAGGATGTTCGTCTCCAGCGGCTCTGCTGCACAGGTGGTGGCTATGGCTTCTCTCCCTTCTCTCTCTCTCTCTCTCTCTCCATCTTGCTTCTCTCTCTGACTTGACTTGCTCTGCCTCACTCCCTCTCTCTCTAACCTAGATCGTCACCCTGGATGCACCCACTCAGGTAAGCTCCACCTTGTCGGTATGGCCGCCCACCTCCTGTGCTACCTCTAGCCTAGCTATGGAGTATCTCGCAAGTGCCTTCTTCTTCTTCGGACGCACAGTGCCCAAGTTGCCTTAACGCACAAGCAGCAGCAGTGCTTCCGCATCTCGCAACTCAACAACTGATGAGCCGTTGCACTGTGGCAGCGAAATATAGGACTTGGCCTGCTTCAGACCGATACTGGTCGGCCACAACCTGTCTGTTGCAAACATTTTGTTGGTCTGGTACCTTCTGGAGTTTCCTGGGACATGCTGCAAATTGGACTTGCGACTGTCGGCCTGGACTGGACTCTTGTGGACTTTTCTTGTCGGGTACCGGACGGACTTCTACCGACCTACGACGCTTCGGTACCGACACCTACCGAGCTACGACACTTTGGCCTTTAGACCCTACGGCCAATCCTACGGGACGACCCTGGGACTGGGACTTGTCGGGACCCTGGGACCGGGACTGTGTGTTTGCAGCGTGAATCCTTTCATACGATGAGTCGGTGAAATTCTGACGAAACAGTTTGTCACAGCCCCTCGTTTGTTGTCCTGTTCTCCCTCTCTGCCTGCAGTTTACCGGGCAGCTCTGTTTGACTATATATATTGTCAAACAGAGCTTCCTAGTAAACAGTAGGCAGAGAGGGAGAAGAGGACAACAAACAAGGGCCTGTGATACATATATATATGCCCCTCGTTTGTTGTCCTCTTCTCTCTCTCTGCCTACGGTTTACCGGGCAGTTCTGTTTGTGACGATATATGTATATATGTATTATATATATATAGCCGGGGTTAAGGTGGATTATCACTTAACAACAATTTCGTCAAAACGGACATTTTTTATTTTCTGAACGAAATTGAAACCGACTAATTTGGCAAGAATCCACTGGAGTAAGGTTGAAATTTTGTCGAAATTGTGTCGAAATTGAGGGTTCGGTGTTCTGAAAATGCCGGACCCCGTAGACTTGAACAAAGTCTAGATACATCCAGGGGGTCCAGCGTTACTCCTGGACTCCAGCTAGGTCCAAATACATCTTGGGGGTCCGACATTTAAGAATGTCGGACCCTCAAATTCGTCAAACTTTGTCCTGGGTCGGGCGGATTGGGGCCAAATTCGTCGGTTTCGATTTTGTTCAAAAAATAAAAAATGTCCGTTTTGATGGAATCGCTGTTACTTACAGTGTAATCAGTTAGGGGATTCTGCAGACTCTTGAGAGTTCGGCCTCCTGACGAGTCGGTGAAACTCCGATGAAACAGTTTGCCACAACCCCTCGTTTGTTGTCCTCTTCTCTCTCTCTGCCTACGGCTTACTGGGCAGCTCTGTTTGACTATATATATATATATATATATAGATAGGGTTCAGCCTCCTGATGAGTCGGTGAAACTCCGACAAAACAGTTCGTCACAGCCCCTCGTTTCTTGTCTTCTTCTCCTTTTCTGCCTACGGTTTACCGGGCAGCTCTGTTTGACTATATATAAAGAAGAATGAGGAAAATGAATGGTTTCAGTGTGTCCTTCATGTTTGTTTTGTTTTTTATTTTTTGGTTTCTGCCGTTTGTTTCACAAAGTGCGCTCTTTTAGTTCATAGTTATGTGACTATATATATATATATATATTCAGCCTCCTGATGAGTCGGTGAAACTCCGACGAAACAGTTTGTCACAGCCCCTCGTTTGTTGTCCTCTTCTCTCTCTCTGCCTACGGTTTACCGGGCAGTTCTATTTGTGACGATATA